TAGCAAGCAAATTCGTACACACGACAGCCTCATCTTAAATCAAGTTGAGAAATGTTGCAAACCAAAATGTTTGCGAGAAAATGCGCAATTGAGCGATACCAAAACCATGCAATTTTGTCTACTTCCGGTTAATGAATTTGGAGCTCATTGATCTAATGCTAAAACTCATGGAACGACCTAATAAAAAAAGCAGGGGCAGATGGCCGAAAAGAACAGTGAATTGGTCTCTAGGGTGATGTAAGCGTTCTTTTATACGACCACCTAGACGATAGGCAGACGTATTTGTGGCTAACATCAATCACCTGCATCTGCAGATGGCAACGAGTTGAGAATTACGGCATTACGGCATGGACCGCGAGTACGTCACTATGATTGAAGCAAATAGCCACAAATGTACGTCAAATCCGCTAGAGGGAGACTAATGAAGTGTATGCTGGACCCACACCTTCAGTCACGAAGGGTCTTTCGAATATATAAATAACCTACAAATATGTGTTAGAAAACATGCCAAATATCACAAGACATTTATAGTACTTCTGACTTGCGCAAAAACCCTGTATTTCACATGCTGAGAGCATTATGATAGACGATTATGTCTATGTAAAATTCATGGCGTCTACGAAAGCAACACTGACATCTGTCGTTGCCTCGCTTGTGTCGAAAACCTTTCGACACTAGCGGGGAGGTTCTTAAGACTTCCTGTCCCAAAAAATGGTTAAGATTAAGGTAAAGCTTTGAAAAAAACTGTATTCACCTTAGAATAGTAGTGAAAATTGAATGCTGCCTTTCTACCTCCATCATAACCATAATTATCCATGTGTTTCAGCTACCTGGATTTCTGATAGTTGTTGAGAAGTTCTACTAACCTGAATATCTTAACGTAAACACCTCTCCGAATGACTATTTTTTGTAGAAAGTTTTAAAATAAAATGTAAAGAATGTGAAAAATTAAATGTAATCAATTTTACATATGAACAGCATTAGCCACAATGACTTCATTACTCGTCACTTTGTCGTTACACTCCTAAAATTAGACATTGCTGCTGGTTAGACTGAAACATAAATGAATTTGCATAAAAGTAGAAGGATAAGAGTATGCTGATGAATGTGCACTTCCGCCAACATTTATTCTCCAGCCTTTTCAACTGTCCGTCATTTTTCACTACAGCAACTATTCCTAGATGAACACCATAGAGAATTACCGTACTAAGCCATTTTTTCCACTTTCTATTTATTATTTCAGCAACGATAAATTGCAATCTCACTCATATTCGCTCTAAACAGAAGCCGGTTCTTTCTGGTCAGAAGGGAACAAACGGACAACCAATCTCATTCGCTGGAGAGGAAGTTTCATAGCAGTGTTGATAACCATTCGAAAGCTGAGACTTGAGTTTACAACCCCACATCGCCGTTTTTTTTCAAACACCCTTTTATAAAGACGTAGTATCCAGGAAATACTCATATTTCTTACCACCATGCGCCTTCATTCCTAACAGCATGTAATTCGCTGGAACACGAAAAACATATCAGCGTGTTAAAAATTTTCAGAAGTATCAGAAATATACGTTTTAAAGTGAAGTTTCAGTCGAACCGATAAAAAGAATCTCCAATTCAAAACCAATATTTCAAACGCGATTGATCGCCCCGCTTCTGCCTCGACAAGGTCACCGAATATGTAAAACTCGTTCAATTTTCCTGCTAAGCGGTGTTTCCAGTAAATAGACAAAACGTTGGAATCATGGGAACTTACGACATCGAATGATTACTAATAGTCTAAAGAAAGTGCTCTGCACGGGAAGGTGTGGAGCACAAATAATTTCTTTCTCCTACAACGTTATCAAAAGAGCTTTTCCAAAAGACGAACACATTCTCGAGTTTTTCGAGACCTCTGCTATTGAAAAACTACTAGCACTTCAAGGAAGTAATTTTGTTTAGTAAAATATAAGCGATATAAGGTAAAAGAATCGTGATTTGTGAATCATAATTTCATTTAGATTTTACAACGTTAAAAAGGGTGCTTTGAAAAACCGGCCGCCTACGGCTCTAGCCAGAATCTAAGCTTTCAAATGATTACTAAGAAATAGAACGATGATGTCAAGTATTTGCTTGTTCCCTTATACCCGAAAAGTACCACTATGTTTATAGCTGACTGGTCCTTTCCTCACTGGATATTCATATGTGACGTGCAAACTCGCAATGGAACTTCTGAGAGAGGTTTACAAAGAGTTTTTTGTAGAACTGAAGTAAGGATTGGAAAAAAATTCTCAATATATTGGCTTCCTTTCGTCTTCCATGTTTTCTGAGCACTCGGCTAACTTGAAATTTGTGGAAGTGGGAACACCTGTGAATCTATCGATCACTACGATTTTGGAGACAATGAACAATACTTAGAGTGCTTTGAACATATTAGCTTGAATTAACATACTAGCCATGAGCAATCGAATGTACAACACTTTGCGTTCGGTAATAATTTCACTGAACATAGAGTGTAAAATGTTCGTCGCCGCTAACTCTTAGTCTGGGGGGCTGGAGCACCCAAAAAGGATTGGCAGAAGACGAGAAAGGTAAGTGCCCGACTGACGAGACTGCAAGGTCGAAACACGTGTACCGGGCTCTATAAGTCGGCCCTTTTTAACAGACTACAAGACATGCGTGGCTCAAAAATGATTTTTTGGAATGTGGAAAGCTGCAATTCTTTTCTGAGGCGAGGGTATGGTGCAATCGCTTTCTTCGGCAGCATTTGCTCAAGCAAGAAAATGGGGTTGAATGAATTTTGTGATTGCTTAGAGAAGTATGAATTGATCCAGCTGTCAATCGAATGGTAAAACTGGATCAGATTGATAAATCTTGACAGTGATGCCCTCTTCACCTGTGTTTTGTGTGCTAGACGAGCAGCAGTGCATAAAGGTAGCAAAAAATGACGCATTCTACAAAGAACAAAACAATAGGGTCAGAACAGCAACACGAACAACAAATATATCAACATGAAATGAGACCATTTACCCCACCTCCGCTTTCTCAGTCGCTCCTTGGACAACAGGATTCAACGACGAAGTTGATAGAAATTTCGGATAATTACAGACAAAACTTTCGAAGCCCTATTCGTTATCTCGCTTCCGCAGTCGTTGTTAACATAAGAACTAACTCAACTATCTCTTCATGAGCCCCGTTCGACTTCATAATTGACTGCTTTTTATTTGTGTAAAGTAAATATGCCATCTTTCATATTCGGTGGCTTAAGTTTTGACAATTTCACCTTCCTTACAGCTCAGAAGACGTACTATACTGAATTATGTCCAATTAGTTGATCAATGTTTCCCATGTTTGATGGCGAGCTAGTAGAAAATCAATCCAAACGTCTATCTATTGCATAAAACACACCGTTCAGCTATTTGCATTAGAGAAGATATTCCTCCTTCTCATTAACAGGCAGCTATTCTCTATTCTCCAAAAGTATCATCAAATAATTTCAATAACTTGTGTCTTCTCTATACACATATGTAATTGTTCTCGCGGATGGTGATAGCATACACTCAATTCTATAAAGATAGCTGTTTTTCAATAGAATAGAAGGATGTAGCTACTCTAGAGGAGTTTGTGATTGGTATGAAGATTTGCAGAGATTTGCGGTGACTTCGATAGAAAGCATCTATTAAATTCTATGATTGAAAAGATCGACTAATATAACGTCGAAGGGAGGAAGCCTCAATTGGACGAAAGTCATAGTTCGACCTACAAGACAAAAGATAATTATCGTAGCCATCTTAAAGCTTCCTATTTACTTTTGATTTCGCGTTAGGCTTTATTCTCCTTTCTATGAAGCCAATTAATTATACAATGTAAATAACACTGAGCTTTTTCAGTCTCGACAAACCTTTTTCATATCAATGGGTATACTACTTGGAACATTTCTATTGACGAGGTTCGTTGACAGTAGTTTTGATACTATAAAATTTAAATGTCCTTTTTCAATGGTTATATAATGATCACGTAAAACTCATGCTTAACCCTTGTGAGACCAGACCTATATCGCTGTAGAAAGCTTTTCTCCTAGGCTATTGGTCATTCTTCGATAGCTTAAATCTTTGAATTTTGATGCTTCATCTGACCTTGACCTTGACCTCTGACACTTGAGAATCCTTCCTAGTATGCTGTGGCAGTTAAAATAAAATAGGCTTCACATCCCGCTTTGCTCGCTCTGCTAGGGTGTGTGGACAATTGCTCATTAAAAATTTAATAGCAATTGATAGCATAAATTTTCACAAGGAATGAGTTTGACTTTTGAAAGTTCATAAAAGCTGTAAAAGCAAAAGGAATAATACGCTTCACCTTTAGAGTTTTCTTTGCGCGTAAGAGATTTATATGATTCGAAGGCCTATGATCATGTAAAGGCAATCATGCTGTATCAATGTATCAGAATCTTAAAATTCTTTGAAAAAGAGGAAGAATTTCCAAATAAGTTACGAAAATTTCACTCTCGCGAATGGCGCTGCGCGTAGCGATTTCAAATGCTGCCTCGAGACGCGACATTCGTCATTTGTCTAGAGTCTCTTTCTTCACTTCAGAAAGATTCCTCACTCATACGCAATTATGGAAAAGGATTTGCTCTATCTGATGATAACATAATATTTCTAAGCTTTTATAAAGTATCTAGGGCACTTATACAGTACTAGACGAAACCGTTTCGCCCTTGCAGGCTTATTAGTAGCACAGTGCCTTTCGGTTTAGCCGATCCCTTGGAGATACGCCCCTACTTATAAAGGAATCGGCACCGAATAACAAATCACCGCAAGTCAGGTGATATATCCCCAACACTGCAGTGAGCAACAGTGAAGCTCGCGACTGGTAAAATGCATTGTACCTCACCATTCGACCGTTGTTATAGATCTTGCTCAAAAACAATAGTAATCTCATAATCAATCGGCATTTTATTTGACCGCCTTACGGTGTTACGATGTTACAGTAAACCCAGTAGTGTAGAGTGGTGTGCAAAAACATTTTGCGTCAGCTGGGATTCAAACCCAGATTTCGCTCTTCCTGAGAGCGCGTGCTAAATCGTTGCACTACCAACGCCCGTTTGGACACCATTCTTTCTACTCTACAACGTGTTATCTGTAGAGAGTCAACCGTTTACGGTCTCGCATAACAGTCGCTATCGACCTTTTATTCATTTATGCTGACAGCCGTTGCGTTTTAATATTAAAAAAAAATTCATATTATTTGACTGTCTATTGCGGTGGTATGATGTTACAATAAATGTAGAATGATGTGTAAAAACTATATGATAATCACTTAACATGTTTTAAGCCCTCTATGAGGTCTGCTAGGGCACTTATACACTACTAAACATAAAAGGTACTGTGCTACTGATGAGCCTGCAAGGACGAGACGGGTTCGTCTAGTACTGTATAAGTCCCTTACCAAACCTCATAAAAGGCTCAAAACATGGCATGTGAGTATCAGATTCTAAGTAATTACAGGCGAGGTCTGTAAAAACAGCCGAATGATGGGACATAATTCATGTTACAAGCCACGAACTAGACTGTTGGTCACTGCAATGCCGGGGATTTATCACCTGACTTTCGGTGATTTGTTATTCGGCGGCGAATCCTTTATGAGCAAGGGTGCATCCCCAGAAGATCGGCTGAAGCGAAAGGCACTGTACTACTCATGAGCTTGTAAGCGCAAAATGGGCCTGTCTAGTACTCTATAAGTGCCCTACCAGAATTCACAAAAAGCTCAAAATATGTTATGTGATTATCAGATTATTATTGTTCTTGATCGACGTATATAGAAGCATCCATGATCATTTTACTTTGCTCTATCGTTCTGTAAACATTAACATATTTTCATTTTATATTACCAGACAAGCCCACTGTGAATTTCAAGCAGAGAGTTGAAAAAGTTGAGCGTAAAACTTAGTCTTTTCTCTCGCTCTTACAGCGCTCTGCGGAGACCTTTTTGAAATCCAAGCTGAGATTCGAACTAGCCAAAATTTTCTCTATCAGATATTATAAAATTCTTATTAGAAATTAGTAAACACTATGTACAGACCCCAACCTTGCAGCTAATGAACGCCGAACGTAATACGTAACTTTTTCTACCCAGTTGGCTCATTATTGCAGATGCTTTCTCATGCTACCAGTCAATTTAAATTTGTAGTAAAAATTCTCATTCTGGCGAAAAAATCAGGCAAATATGAGTTCATAACGCGCTTCACAACCCGGAGGCTAAACATAATTTATCTTCTCTAACAGCGCATAAACAGAGCCTTTCCAGAAACAATCCTAATGTTGGGCAATTTTCTTCAGCTTTCGAATGTTACTAAAAGTCTAGTGAAAAACCTGTGCCTGACGAGAAAATAACGAAAACGCCAGTGGACCATTTTTGGTACACTTAGTCCCGAAAAAGGGAAAGATTTGTATTCGACCTTTTTGAGTCGATTAAAAAGTTTAATGTTCGTTAATTTCTCATTTGATTACTTGAAGTGAATTTTTCCAATGAAACAGTTCCATTCATTTGACAGAAAAGGCATTGAACATGTCACCGAAAGCTATGAAACGATGCTAATAAAGAAAAGCGACAAAAGGATGAGTGTTTAGAAAAGTAGCTGATATTCACCACGTTTTTCTGCTGGGTCACTAGAATATTTGACTGAGTAGATTATGACATTGTGCCTTTTCAAGGATCTCGAAAACAATACCACCGGAATCTTATTGTGTTCAATGCAAATTGCTGTTAACAACCTTACGTCTACTCATCAATAAAACACGGGATCAAATGGACCTCTTATCTTTGAACCCAAAAAGGCCTCCAATACGATGGCACTGAGTACGAGCACTCATAGGGTGATTCTAAGTCACGTACATGATGGAGACTGGTGTGATCATCTTCGCCTACAAAACACTTTCACTTGCAACCGAGTGTTTTTCAGAGGTCCTCATAATGCAGACGAGAAGAATAGGACTCAGCGTCATACGGCGGGCTGAGACGAGGAGACTCGTCAACAAAAGTTTAACCACGAACACCGATTTATTCAAGTGGTTGAAAACTCAAATTAGACGCCTACACCTGAAGTAATATGGAAGAATACCGAATTTGACGATCTTCGCCGTCAAGCACTGATGAACCCAAAGTCAAAGTTTTTGGACTTGGAGAAGTTCTACTGAAAAGACCAGAAATTCATTGTGGTTATCTTTGAAAATTTTATCACTGAGATTGGACCCAGAAGAGCGTTTAAAGAATGTCAGACTGGAGCTCACGGATTAGAATGTATCGGTTGAATGACAACGGAGCCTAAAATCATTGTGAAGACATGAACGGCCTCAAATCTCAAAGCTCTACGCTAAATGGCGGATATAGGATTTTTTTTTCAAATAAAGACTTTCGCAGTGAAATAGACCACATCACAGCAAATTGAAGGTTTAGTCCAACTTAGTCGCTGTTGTCTCAAAAGCCTAAGCAGAATCCTGCCCTGGCCCCATTTGTACAGAATTCTATTCTTCACGTAAAGGTGATAAAGCCGCTAGGTTAGAAAAATCAAATTCCATAACTGCTGTGAACTGATAGTTATTCGAATCGTTAGTTATCTTAAACGTTAGGACTCTTGGCAGCATCGCAAATAATTCATTACACTCAACCAGCATCTTCACCTAGGACAGCGAAGGCTGATAATTCGAAGCCTAAATAAAAGTCTCCACCTGGAGCGTTTGTGCTTATACGTAAGCGTGGTATCGATTGAGCAGTATGCAATCGTCAAATACTGTGAATAATCAGTCGATAGCGTAAATCCCGAAATTTAGAAAATATAACTAAGACTTGGAAAGGCATCTTTTACGGAGCTGTAGCAAAAAAAAAATGAATTTTTCGTTCGCGCATGTATATCATTCTTGTGGCAGAGCTTTTTCCTAAGCCTATCATTGACCATCCGATAGTGTAGTTTCGACAGTTCCAGCACTGTGCTTGTTTCTGAAAGCATCGTTGGCCATACAGTAGCAAGAAAACAAGACTAAGCTTGATACAGGCCGTGCATTGCCTGTCGGCTAGGTGTGTGAGTACTGTAAATCGTGGCGAGATTCACATGTGGAGTGCGACTTTTGTTGTTGAAATCAAGTTTTTTCGCTTTGAAAAGAACTATATACAACATGTGACTTTGATATTCGAACATTTCAACGTTCATATGATTTTCGTGACTGAGCTTAGGTTTAGGCTTAGTAGCGTGATTACTCAACAGTATGAAAATTAGCAATATGTAAAGAAAATGGAAAATCTAAGATCCAGAACGCAAAGGAAAAAAGTTTTTTTCTGCAATCTAAGGCGGACAAATCTAGCAATCTTTGAGAAACAAGATAAGATTCCTAGTAAATAACGAAAATCCGGCGTTCGTTACGAGTGAAATGCAATGTAATTTACCTGCTACAGTGCTGCAAAAGGACCTTTCTGGAAATAAAATGCATTTTCCTATTTCCTGAGATTTGCGCTACCGTAGCATTGCTAGTATTCCAAGAGAAGCGCTCTGTCGTTCGCAAAATACGCACAACGCATGTGAAACAAAATTTCATTTACCCTGCTACAACACTGGAAGACCCTTTTCGAGAAACAAATACAATTCCCAAAACGATTGTCTATCAACCTCGGTATGCTTGAAGATAATTCTTGATTTTTTTTTCTTTGAGCCAAACACGGAGTGTTACATTAATCTTTATTTGACAGCTGACGTTTTGGCAGTTCGCCTTTTTCAGAGAGTGAAAAAACTGAAGGCTTTGAAGATGGCGAACTGCGGAAACGTCAGCTGTCAAATAAAGATTAATCTAACACCTTGTGTTTAGCTTAAAAAAGAAAATCAGGGATTATATTGAAACAAGTACAATATTAAATTTTTTGAGATTCATTCACCTAATAGATAGTAAGAATTCAGGGCAAGAGCGTATTTCAGCGAAATTTAAGCGCGATAACACGCAACGTGTGTAAAACACAAAATTATTTTCAACGCTGCAGCGCTGTAAGGAGGCCTTTTCAAAAAACAAATATATATTCAAACTCTCCGAAATGTAGGCTTCTGAATGACCGATGATAGTCTAGTCTAGTTAATGTTCATCGCTCACAAAAGAGGCTTCTTTGGAGTTCCTACCCGTTGAACGAGAAATATCAAAAATGGAGTCTTTTTCTCACCAGTTCTCTGTTCCGAAGTCAAACATGCCTTTCCAAAGGTGACAAATCACTTGGTCTAGATACAGTATGATTTAACCATTTGAAAAACCCTTACTCCAGCTTCTATCGACACAACGGCTCACATCCTCACATCTTACATCTCAAAATGTACCAATAATATTCAGTTGTACGCAAAAAATAGATCTCAGGAAAAGTACGCAGAAAATAGACCTCAGAAAGAAACCGACCCACTTCCTACCTTTACTGGAGATGCGTGATACCATTACGCCACCAGGTCCTCCGCTTTGCGAATACTCTTCGCAGCTGTCGGCAATAAACCATTAGCGGGTTTGACCTAAGCTCATGTCGGTGTTAGACCCGGTTAAGTTAGCAGTTTTCCATATGTATGAAATCTATCAATTCTTTATCTTTTCTGCTTTCAGCAGTGGTATGGTGTTGTATATATTCACCCGGGAAGACTGAGTGGTACGTAAAAATTCGGCCTCACGCGAGAGTAGCCCGGGTTTCATCCTTACTAGAAGCGCGTGCTACAATTGCACTACCAGGGCCACCCCTTTGCGACCATTCTTTCAAAGATATGAATTATCGCACTGTCGTCAACTAAGCCTTAACGGGTTTGTATCAAAATTCATTGTTTCTATTCATTAGAAGACTAGCAAGATTGTGTATCTGATGAAAAGAAAAATTTCTACGACATCGTCAACTGTCGTCCAATTTGTTTGCTGTTTGATGTTAATGAAGTCCTCACTCAAGTCGTCCTAGCAGGACTGAAAGGCCACTGAGCAGGGATATCCATGCAGACAAACAGGATTTCAATAAGCAATTATTACTGTAAACAACATCTGCACAATAATATAACTTACATATTTTGCAAAAGTGAAAGCGATTGCATTGTTTTTCCC